TTCATCATTTAACGTCCTCGATAGCCTAAAGTCTAGCGTTTTAACACACCACTTCACTTTCTGTGGTCGCGGGTTTGATTCCTTGTACGCTATAAATGTTATGAGTATGATTGTATTGTTCCGAGTGATTGCTATATTTAAGTATTTACAAAAAAAGTATAAGTATTTCTATCAGTTGGAACCAGATGGCGTTCTGTGAATGATTTGTCTAAGGTTATTATTATTTTTATTTATTCTTTTTTGAACAATCAATATTGTACAAAAAGCAAGGCTGATGCGTTATAGTATTATTTCCTAGCTAATCTTTGGGTATAATAATATAATAATAATATCTCAGGACAATTCACACAGCGTCATCTAGTCCCAAGCTAAGCAGAGCTTGTGTTATGGGTACTCGATATCGGATATAAATACATGGATACATTTTTTTGTAAATAAAAAACACCCATACCGATACAAACAATCATACTCATGAATACAAATATTTGTACCGTGCGAGGAATCGAATTCACGACCATCGGATAGTAAAACAGTGTACTAAACCACTAGATCACCGAGGCTGTCGGGTATAATGAGAAAGCGAAAGACTACCTCAGTCATAACGAGATCTGTGATTTTACTATACATAAATAAAACTATACAAGAGATAAATATATATACAAAAAATATGAAGTAATTAAAATTATATATAATATACAAATATACTAAAGTAATACAAGGCAATATAGTTAAACCTAATTATGATACTTCTGATGGCTCAATAAGTAATTATAGTTTTTTTTATAAAATGACTTATGATGCTTTAGGCAGGTCTAAAGGAAATTCATTCCAAAGTCTAATGGATATTTATTTTTATTACATATCATAAAGTACACCGGCTATGTGGTATGTACATACCATAAAGAACGCTATGCGCCCATCAGGAAGTTGACTAACTTTCATCACTCCTTTTGTATTTGCAAAGTACAGAAAATTATGTTCGATCACTCATACAGGTTCCGCTTTCACTTGTTAACTTAACGAAATTATGTGTTTGTATGGAAATATAGTGGTTACAATTTTTGGTTATGGTTTTTTTGGGTCATTGTGTTTGTAGTTACTTTTTAAATTAGGGTTTTTTTTATAATCTTCGTTAGGAACCAAACGTGTTTATTTGTGACAAAATATATATATGTTCTATAAAGTTAGGAGCACATGTTACAAGGAATGTAAACTCCTAATTAATTCTTTTATAATATGTAATATCTATGTAAGATATATTCATTTTTATTTATTTAACTTCAATGCAAAATACCAAGGTAATATATGGCGGAATTACCGTGCTACGGCATTTTCTACCAGTCAACCACAGATTATTCAGAGAAAAATTATATATGTCTCTATTTTTTTTTATACCACTTAGGTGGCATACAAGCATACGGCCCATCTGATGCTAAACGGTTACCGTCTCTATTACAAACAATAAGTACTTATTTATGTAATTGGAATGAAAAACAAGTTAGAGGCGCGGTTGATGGTATATGTTCATCATGTTATCACGTGACGCCCGTGAAGTCCCAATTGCTATTTTTTTTTTTTGTGGATGATAATGGAATGGTGCACCCGCCTGCGCTAACGGTTTACGCTGGCGGGGCACCAGTGGAGGATGATAAGATGAGCATGAGGTCAGGTTAGTTAGCCCATCGTGACAAATTCACCAGGAATTTATCACGATGGTTTCCAGGGGGAACCGCGTGGAGGTCGACCTGACATGGTACATTGCTAGCAATGGGGTTATCAATCTACATTACTAACAATCCCCTTCCCCTCCCAATTGCTATTGAGGACGACTAAAATGCCATGCCTCTTATCCTGTAATTTGATTGCCTAAGCTCAGTCTACAAGCTTAATAGCTTATAAAGCAGGCTAATGTGATACCTAGTGTATTATCGTCATGCTAGAAATTTTATAATGGAGAATGATGTTGAAATTACCATTATATATTATAGAAATTCCTATTGAACTGTTATGAAAATCTTGTTTTTAATTTCAGTTGAGATTATCTCTTGTTTCTTTATTTTTTAGGATAGGTAATTTTTTAGTAGTCCTTATTTAGAACCTACTTTTAATACTCTTTATTAATTGAGGAGGACTAAGATGTCATGCCTCTTATCCTGTAATTTCACTGCCTAATCTTAGCCTATAAATAGCTTACAAAGCAGGCTGCTTGGCGACTGAAATAGGTGAAACTTAGGTACCCACTCAGACTATATATTTTATAACGTGATGTGAGTGGCGTCAGTCAGATACATAGATAGACTGACGGATAGCTGTACCTACATACTTGACACTACCTGTTGCGACTGTGACCTGTATGCCGTTTATAGTTATAGTTTTTTGGTGTCAAATGGGAACAATCTTAATAATATTATAAACGCAAAAGACTTTGAATATGGATGGATGTTTGTTACTCTGTCCCGCAAAAACTACTGAACCGATTTTAATGAAACTTTACAGCAATATAACTTATACATCAGAATAACACATATGTAGGCTATAATTTAAAAAGATATTATGTAAAATGGGCGAAATATAATGATAAATGTCAAGTAAGTGTGTTGCAGATGAAGTAAGCTATTTAGTATTGACATAATTGTAAAATTTAATTAAACAGAATATAATTCTGTTCTACATATTTGGCTTATCACAACCCAAAACAAGCCAATCATAACGATACCATCGCCCAGAAGTCGTCAGCATGTTCACTATTCCAATAACATAAAAAGAAATCGTTCAATAAGTATTTTCACTGTTATAATGTAACACAATTTTACTTTCGCATTTTAACCGTACTTATTACAAACTTACTTAATATTATGTACCTACGTATTGAATAATAATTGGTGACTATTATACTGATATTATTATGTAGAATACACGCGTACAGCCCACCTTATGGAATGGAAAGTGATAACGTAACTGTGGATATGAGTGTCATACATTTCCGCTCCTAATGAAATACCTAGTGAATTAACGTTATGCTAGAAGTTTTATAATCAAAAATGATGTTCAAGTTACTATACTACAAATATCTTTATTTTGTTGTAAAGTGATTTACAGGAGTGATTTTATAAATTACTAGCAGACCTGGCCAAAGTGCAAAAAGGCAAACGCAATAAAATAATATTGCGACTATAATATATATAATTGTGATGTATGAGATGAAGCTATCCTATCTTTCAAGATGGATCAAATAGCACACAGCGTACAAATCAAATTTGCAATGGGTTCAGTAGTTTAGGAGTCCATCGCTGACAAACAATGTAACATGTATTTTTTATATATAAAGATGAATTTATGAATCACACTTTTCACCAGAATCTGGCATGCATTTACAGTGTCCATTTATTGTAGAGTATACAGATACCACAGCTTTATTTTTATTTTCTTCATTATTAAATTTCTAGGCGAAATACTTGGTTTAACTTCATGAATTAGAGTATTCATCAACAGAATAAAGACACTTATTGATCAGCTATCTTTTTAAGTGTTTTTTGAAGCGATATTCCTATCGAACTGTTATTAATTTCTACTTGTGTGTTTAACAAAACTAGTATATACTTATTCTTAAAAATATTGTTGTTTGTGTATTTTATTAAAATGCTTAAATCATAGCTATAGCTTTTTAGTCTTTTTTAGAATTTACTTTTAATCTACTTCTCTTTCAAAAATCTAAATCCTGACTAAGGTTTATATATATATTTACTAAGAAAAGAAGGAACATGAGGGAATCAAGAGAATTTATTACTAATCACTTACTTTCTTAAATACCGTCCTAATGCTTTCTTAATTATTTTATATTAGAATAAATATAATACATACATATAATTTGTAAAGAAAATATGAACACGAATTACTGGCTTAGACTTTTGAACTTACTTTTTATTTAAAGTATGTTCAAAAAACCTTAAATCTGAAATTTAACACTGAAAGAGTAGGCTGACTGAATACTGAAAATTAAAATTCTAAAAAGTTTTCCTACTTTTTAGAATTTTAATTTTTAGGAGGAAGTTAGTTGTTAGGTTATTAACTTTACTTAAAAGGAAAGCAGATTATCTTACTATACTTCTTGTTCAGTCCACAAATTAAATGATTAATTGTTCTCTGAGCTCATTGTATTAATGATATTGATGTAGGTACTAGAAATTCGTTGTTAACATTCAGGTTACTACTTATTAGGGTAGATACCCTATAATAATCGATTTTTAATATTGCGCCCACTCCTCAGTGGCCTAGTGCCCTCGATTCATGCTTCATGATTTATAAGTATAGACCCTTTATCGTGAGGTTGAAGGTTTTATATGTGTAGTAGCTGTGCCCGCGACTTCGTTCGCGTGGTTATCAAAAACACTCGCGATTAGTCGCGGACATTTTTTTAGATCATCTAAAGTGGAATAATTCTTTCATACCTACATATTTTTTGGGTAACTTGAACCACTTCGCAGCGCATGCAACGGAAGTCTTATATGAATAATTTTCCCCGTTTTTGCAACATTATTCACTGATGGCAAAAAACACTGATAAAAAAATGAGTGGCGTGAATAATAAGTGAACGATCATAGGGTGATGATGAAGTTAGTGGTGTATTCATCAGAAATTATCCACGATTGTTTCCAGAATCACTGACAATCCCATTTCTCCAAATAATAGATATTAATCTTACTAGTAGTATAAACGCCAAAGTTTGTGAGTATGGTTGGATGTTTGTTACTCTTTCACGCAAAAACTACTGAACGGATTTTGATGAAGCTATGTTAGTGTAAAACTAACATAGCTTATACATCAGAATAACATAGGCTATAATTTAAAAATATATTAGTAAATTGGGCGATATATAATGATAAGTGTGATGCAGACGAAATCGCGTGGGTCAGCTAGTTTATATTATATGAATTATATCAGTTTATATTATATGATAGTTTATATGTATACACCATGTAATCGTGTTTTTCTCTTTCTAGAGTCCTTCGGAGCCGGCTCTACCGACGGGCTCCATATCAGATCGTATCAACATCTTACAACAGCAGTCCGAGCAGACGCTGCCCACTCATGTCGCCAGCACGCTGCGCAGGAATCGAAGCTCATTACACTCCTCCGGTCAAGGAACGCTGGGTAAACAACTATCTATATGTAATTTTTTTTTCGGACTCCTCTAATGCTGTTGGCCGCAGCCGGCCTTTACAGCTTCACCGGAGGATGGGGGCGAATACGACGCCGAGTTTCATAAAAAGGGGGTATTAATATTCCCAAAAGTGAACAATTTAATTAATGAATTGTTCACTTAAGAAACTTAAATAATAGATTTCAGGAAGAAATCACTAGGAAATTGTTAATGAAACAGTAATTGTAAATTCTCAAAATATATCATGAAAAATTTAAATTCACATCTATCTATCTAAATATATATAACTCAAAGGTGACTGAGATAGTGATCTATCAACGCACAGCCCAAACCACTGGACGGGTCGGGCTGAAATTTGGCATGCATGTAGATGTTATGACGTAGGCATCCGCTAAGAAAGGCAAGGGGATAAAATGATAAAAGAAACTTTGTCAATTTTAAACCAATCGGTCTGAGATTTTGCATGTATGAAGATACTATGATCATCCCCATAGAAATGATTTTGATAAATTCCACACCTAAGGGGATAAATTAACGCGAGCGAAGCCACGGGCAAAAGTTAGTTTCTATATAAATTTTATAAATAGTCGTATGTTTTAAATTGTACCCCTTAACAGCCCCCCATGGGGGCGTGGGCCTCTTGTTGGGAAACACTGCTCGAGAGGTTCTGAATTGTATAATATTATTGCTGTATATAGCGACGTGAATAATTGGCAATGGTTGTGATTATCTCATTTACGGTTATAGTGATGAAGGTATTCGTACTGTACTTATTTATTTTCCTGTTTATTTGTATCTGGCAGTAGTTATTTAGAATTGACAATAATATAATAACCTTGTTGGAATTAATAGATTTATATATAATTTTGTGCATAATATCCTGTTATGCATATATTATAATATGTCATAACGTAATTATTAATTAAAGTAAAAATAGGATGCGACGAATCGGTAATACCTTTCCTCTACCGATACTCTGTCCCATTTGAATGGAGATCTAAATGTGGGCCTGTTTTTACGTGGCGAAATCCCTAATGGAGACCCGCCCGTCTCAGGGGTTGGACGGACGGGTACTGTGAGACTCTTACTCACCAAAAACCCTACGATATACCTCCTCGTCGATATATATACATAATGCCGGGGTCGCGGGATCGAGTTCGCAATCAACCGCGACCCCAGCGGCTGTTGCCGCGTGGGGGTGGGGACCCGGGCCACGAACGCTTTGAAGCTCGCGTTGTGACACGATTTCAGCTGCGTCACTCTCAATGTCAGATTACTTATGCTCCAGATATAGTCAACGATTTCCTGTGGTACATATTGCTGTTGCCAGTGTTACGGCACGCAACAAGTTGGGCCCAGCCATAATGGCTTCGATTGGCCTTCTTTGTGCGCCTCTTTTTTTTGTACCATGACAAAACCATCATCGTTACTAATAGAGCCACCGAGGTCGTCAAATGTTTTATTAAAATCTGGCATTTTAAGAATAGTTGTGATCGTATTATTATGTTTGTATCTTCCAGGCGGTAGTATGACGTCCCTATCATCAGCTCCCCCGACCCCGACGCCGGCGCCCGCGCTCTCCGCCTCGGACCTGTCTGAGAGGCCCCGAGTGAGTCACGGGAAGCCGAACCTAGCACCGAAGCCGCCCGCGATGGCGCCCTCGCCCACTATCGAAAACAAGCCTTCCCCGCCGCCCAAGAAACTCCTCATCAATGGCAAAGTTGCATCACGGACGCAGAGCATGAGAGCGCCCAGGTGAGATAGAAATCTATTCAAATAAACTCAAATTTAAGCACTTATTAATAGTCACAGTTATCTTTTATTAATTTTTAAAATATAAAGCTCTTTTGAATAATTGTTTTAAATTGAAATGTATATATACAAACTACCAATTAATTAAGAGTGATGAGTTTTGTATTCATAGTTTTTATAACATCGAACCAATACAATATTGAAACCTTCAAGTGTGTCTGTGTGTTCATAGCAGCCTCAAGTTCCTTTGTCCCCGCCGGACCCCTCCGTATAATAATAATAATAATAACTTTTATTGGCCAATAAAACACTTTTACATTCAATACACATTACGGCGAACCACACACTAGACATGCAAGTCTGTATCGTATATATAAATATATACATATATATGAATGTACGAAGATACCAAAATAAAATATATGCAAGTCTACATAAAGCAAGATATAAAATAATACAATGTAGTTAGGGGTGAAATGTGAGACAGCGCCGTCGCAAGTGTAGTGAGTGTGTCGGTCCCCGCCGGTGGCGGTGTCGCCGGCGCGCGCGTCGCCGGGCCGCGCGCTGCCCCTCACCTGCCGCCCACGCCCGCGCACCTGCCCATAGGGACCAAGCATCCCGCTTCACACTTCGGTAGGTTTTTACTCTATATTCCTATTTTTTAAGTTTATATTGCTATTTTTTTTTCATTTATATTGCTATTTATCGAAATAACGAACATAGAGTCGTTCGTGCAGTATTAATATGTTAGGAGAATGACGGAAGATCAAGTTCCCCTCTGATCGATCCCCCGTCCAATTCAAACGGGGATCTACTTCATTAGAAACTAATTGTTATCTGCAGGGATTTGAATTTTATTTTAATTAAAATAAAATTTCTATAATAAAAATAGGTTGAGTTATTCATTATAATATTAGCTCTCTGCGAGTCAAATTTCATTAAAATTAGTCCAAGCGTTTCAGAGATTTTCAAGAACAATCAGAGAAACAGGCAGACAGAGAAAAAAAAAAAAAAATCCCTCATCCAATTACAACGGGGATCGCAATTACGGCGGCCTGAGTCGAGGTTCTAATCCTAGCTATGTAAAATATTATGCTCACTTGTTCAGGTAAATTTTTTTATATTAATATTATTTTCCTACCATTCAGTTTAGGCGAGAAATTAAATTCAGACTCACTGAGAATAAATTCAGTTTATTAATCTTGTTGATTTATTAGATGTCTATTTCTGACATTATATGTGTGTGAAAATATACTGTAGGCATGTTTGTCAGTTAAGTATTTGTTTAAGAGTACAATAAATATGTTTTAATAAAAGTTTTGTTATTTACATGTATTATATTAACCACACGAATATAATTATTCCATGTTACTAAACACGTCATACCCAACCACAGATTACTACGCTTTTATTATAATGTTTCGAAAATTTTATTAATTATTGTAATTTCGTTGTATATTTAATTATAATTTTATCTGTACACTTTACTAGAAATATTATTAGTCATTATGGTTTCGTTTTATGTCTTTTCCCCAACTAAGTATGACGTCTCAGGATTCGCAGATGTCACTTATTACTATATGGGTTTTTCACGATGGGTATATTAAAGGTTCTTAAGGGTCGGCAACGCGCACGTGACACACCTGGTGTTCCTGGCGTCCATACTACGGTAACCATTTACCATCAGATGTGCCGTATGCCCGTTTACCACTATTCCATCATAACATGCCTAGTAGGTATATTCGTTACTAGCTGACCCGCCCAATTTACATAATACCTTTATAAATTATTGCCTGTGTTATTCTGATGTATAAGCTATGTTACTGTAAAGTTTCATTAAAATCCGTTCAGTTGTTTTTGTGTGAAAGAGTAACGAATATCCATCCATCCAACCACAAACTTTGCATTTATAATATTAGTAAGATTAGGATTTTTATAGAAATTTTGAGTATCAATGGAGTGCCTTGGCTCCACTAAGCAATATTGGTCCTTCTAGCCGGATAGACTGTGCTATTCATGTATGATTGACACTGGTCTCCTGCAGTTCCCGGGGGATCAAGGTTGGGGCCTCGGAGCTTTTCCCTCGGAGCCAGCCCCGATAACTAGATTGACAGCCTCTTGGAGCGGGTTACTAAAACTAATTTAAACTCAAAAAACTTAGCTAGAGATTATTATAGATTTATTTACATTATTAACTCATCCTAAAAAAAATCTGCAGTCTATATTAATTCAATTGGGGTTGATGCAACGTTACAGGTTCTATGTTTATTATAATACAAGTTTGTGACATATGTGGTTGAGTCAAACTCTATGGATAGCCTATATATCTTATCTATTAAATTAGACCTACTGTAACATTAGTTAATGTAATGTATATACAGTGGCGGAAGGTATGCTTTAGGCGCATAATACTGGATTTTGACATATGTAGTTAAATTTCAAACTATGAATTGTCGGTCAGTTTAACTCGAGTTACTGTAAACTGTAGTTCATGTAATGTATACACTGTGGCGGTCATGCACAACCTAAATGAGAGGCTAAATGTGGAGAATAGAGTTCAATTTCCATTTTTACACTGCGTACGCGTGGCGGATACGCTGTGGGCGCATAATACACAATTTTGACATGTATAGTTAAATTCCATCTCTAGGGATTGCCGGTCCGTTTAACTCGAACTACTGTGAAAACAGTTCGTGTAATGTATACACTATGGCGGTCACATACAACCTAAATGAGAGGCTAAATGCTGAGCATAGAGTTCAATTTCCAGTAACGAATATACGGTGGCTGGAACAACCTAAATGAGGGGCTAAATGTGGCGAATAAAGTTCAATTTCCATTACACTGTGACGGTCAATAACGGCATAACCTAAATAAGATGCTAAATGCGTGCAATAGAGTTGAATGTCCATTACACTGTGTGGTACTCGTGGCAGGTACGCTGCGGGCGCCGCGCGGGCTGCGTCCGCCGGGCGTGTGCCCCCCGCCGCCGCCCGCCGCCCCCGCGCCGCCGCCGCCGCCCCCCGCACGCAACCACTCCCTCACCGCGCCCCCGCCGCCCCCGCACCACCGCCAACACGTGAGTACCCTTGAATTTGGCAACTCTCTTTAGATCTATGGAGGTTGTTCGCTCTCGACTGGTGTTAGATAGAGGCATTAAGCTGGTCGACTTATATGTCTATAAGAACTTGGCAGATCTTTGAAATCTTTGAGAGGTTGTTCGCTCTCCACTCGAGTGAGAGGCAGTAGGCTGGTCCACTTATAGGTCTATAAAAACACGCCAGTACTCTTAAACTTGGCAGCTTTATTGATCTATGGAGGTTGTTCGTTCTCGACTCGAGTCAGAGGCAGTAGGCTTGTCGACTTATAGATACATAATATCGCGTCAGTACTGTCAGTACGGACGGTAAGAATTATTTGCTTTGAAACACAAATGAATTTGAATTTTGAACATGTGTGTGTCGGTTATAGAGCTCGCACAGCGCCCGTCCGTGCGCGGATGTGGAAGCGCGGTTTGCGTAATTTTGAATTTGGAACGTGTTTATCGGTCACAGAGCTCGCACAGCGCACAGAGTAGCGTGAGCGGCGAGGAGTGGTGCGCGCCGCCGCCGCCGGTGCGCGGGTCGTCCATCCGCGCGGATCTGGAAGCGCGGTTCGCGGAGTTGTTCCAGTCGCCGGCGCGGTTCCCGCCGCCCGACCCGTTCCTGCGGATCACCAAGGGCTACAGCAGCGCCACCGTCGCCGGTAAGCATGCGTGACGGGTACACGCCGGCACCTGACTTGAACTTTTTTTTTATTTGAGACGGTTCTGGACTATTGCCACGTGCTTTAGCCGCCCGCGGCGCCCGGTGACGGTCGATACCCGCGTTACACCAGCACACAACTCGAACCTTAACTCTGAACCTTTTTTAATCAGCGATTTTGGTTTTACTTTGGCTACGCTAACAGTTTATGCTAGAGGAGCCATAGTGGAGGATGATAAACATGAAATCTGGTCACTTAACCAGTTTAGCAGTTTCCAAGGGGGACCGCGTGGGGGTCGACCCAACGTAGTAAATTGTTAGCAATTCTATCCTAATCTAACCATCGCTCCTAAGAATGTCAATTCTTGTCCCATGACGGGTTGAGGTTACATTGCTAACAACAACCTAAACTCGTGAGAGACAAGGACACATTGATAATCTTAGGAGCGATGATTTTTATCTCCTCCAGATACTGGATAGTACGCCTAAAAGTAGTTGTACTCATAAAATATAGTTGTCTATGGTTCAAGTTGTTTGCCGTAAATTAATCCACCCAGGATTGGATGTCAATATAGAAGCCACCCGTATTGTTTATTAAATATATTTTTTTATAAAATTGGCAGAATTCCAAAATTAGTGTTGCCATTCCTATCAAACGGTTCTTTATTTGTCGCAGTAGGTATACTTATCAAAATATCATAGTTGTTATACAATAGTGTGCCTAATACGTGGTGATTTGTTATTGATATCGTATCGAACAAAATGTGTTGTTGTTTGAAAGAGTTTGCGATCATTAGAGTGATATGTGATTGATGTGTTTGAAGACACGGTTCAAGGTATTGATAAGAAGTTTATAACCGTACAGATTAATATATGAGCGATTACTTTTAAATACGTCATATTTATTGCTTCGAAATCACTGCTGTGTGTAAGCGGGATGAATACATAACTTAGTGGGACGTAAAAGAGATGGAAGACGCGCGAAACTACTTTTTTTGTTAACTTTAATTGACGAAGATAAGGCTGTATGATCGAGAAACCTTTGCCTGTCTATGGCAAATAAAAAAAAAAGTTATTGGTTTAAATTTTATTTTTGTGTGTTCATGTTTTTTATTAATATATGGTTATAAACTTCTTGTTTATGGTAGATTGTAAACGGTGTAATGGTTTTGGATTATTTAAAAATGTTTCGATGTTAATTCGGTCCTATAAAGTTCGCCATTCATTTCGAACTTACATGTTGAATTTTAATCGTTGTAATGTTTATAGCTATAAAGCTACTATTTGACTAGCGATTATTTAACTATAATAATATTAAGAGCGTTCACTATGGAAGTCTGGAAGTATATCTGTTATATATCAATTTTTAAATTATTTTTGTAATATTGAATTTAATAATATTGAATAACAAAGTAACTAGCGAATATCCGTTGATTCTGTGGAAGGTATGACAGGAGTCGTATAATTATATGTATCTATTATACAAGTAAATCTTTCAAAAATAATTCTCTAAATTACAGTGAAATCAGTATCAAAATGCGTTACGTACGAATTTATCGAAAATAAAACAGTCAAACGAAAATATTTTTTTTTCACTATTAGAGATTATTAAAAAAATATTTTGGTGTTAAACTAAAAAGTTATTTAATTCCAATAAAGCTATCAATAAGAATAATATGAACTATTTTTGTTGTAGATTTATATACATATTGCGTACGAAACGTGTTCTAGAATTTACAATTTTTTTTCGATATCAGTATACTTTAAAAATGACTATAAACAACCACACTGTCGTACAGTCAACACCACGCTTCCAAGCTATATCCGAACCGTATTCATTGCCTGATGGTGCCTCGTTTAGATGCGATACACGTGTCGCAAATATGGGTGTAGACTCAATAACGGTCGGAATTTGATCACCAATAGATAAGGTCGTAACGCTTCCAGTAGCGGTGGTCAGGTTTCCGCACTGAATATTTGTGGTGTTACACTTGTTAAATGTAGCAGAATTAATCAAAATAATATAAATTCATTAGGTTTTGTAAACTTTCTAAACTTCATTAGTGAACACTCTCAATTAGGACTGAGTATATAACGATTTATTGGTTTTACAGCCGCCTAAAATACATACATATAATGTACAGGCTTAGTCATATACGGTATAAAAACCAAAAATCAGTATTAATGAAACTGAACTCTTTCCCTAAGACGTAAAGTCGAAAATTCAACTGCACGGTTACATGATAAATTTAGCTCAAATTTAATTCCACTTTGTTTCTTTGTGAAGCTCTCTCAGTTTCATATTAAACCTGGCTTTTGAGTTGATATACCGTTTAAGACTCACCCTGTAGATATGTATAGATGCATATAGCAGAGCAAACGCACATATAAATGCTCTTATTAGTCATATATACATTATATAGTATTATGTACATTATTATGTAAGTAAAATAGGTACAACCTGACATAATAATGAATAGAGTAATATAGATAATATTATTAATCTGTATTTAGCCAGAGTCAATAATTAGGTGTTAATGTTAAACCAAATTATAAAGTTCTTTAAGGAACTATATTGTAGTTAGACTATGGCTGGCCTTTTTTTATATATTTAGGTGCATGGATGCATGTGAATATGTTTATTGTGCCTTACAAGTGTCCTTATAATGTAGACTGAATTTTTTTATATATTGCAATATGCAAGTATAAGTAGAAAAAAAGTTTATGTTTACTATATTCTATAAGTTTTCTCTTATTGGCGTAATCAGGGGAGAGATGAGGATGTAAGAATAGAAGATAAGGAAATACAATCGCAAGTTATATGTATAAACTGTGGATTTAAAGGGCAATCGCGTGGAGGTCGACTTAAGATAGTCAGCAAGAGGATTATAGTATAGTTGTCATTAATAATCTCCTCGTTTCGTTCTATGTGACCGGTATAAAGATTTTCAGTTGTAGAAATTTAAATTACGTGTATCTATTATTGTATACCTTATGTATTTTAAAATAGGGTTCGTTTTTGCTTGTAGTATTGCAGTTATTCATTTGCAAAGAATTAAAACACGTATGCTATTATAAATATAGAAAACGACATCGTTCAAGTATCAACTATATTTGTACATTTAAAACAGTACAAATATAGTTGATACTTGCAGTCGTCTAGAAAAACAATATAATAACAATACAGTAACATGGCCATAAGCGTGGGTAGTAGAGACTTCGCCCTGGGATTTTTCAAGAAGAAATATTAAGCTTTCTTAAGGTATTTCAGGCGTCCATAAGCTACGGTAACCAATTATCATCATTATGCTTGATACCGCCTTCGCGATATAAAAAACGTATTTTTCGTATCTACAACATCATCCGGTGAAGCTGTAAAGGCCAGCTGCGGCCAACAGCTTTAGAGCAGTCCGAAAAAAAATCTACATGTGCCTATAGATAAGTATATAGTTTGCAATTTTATTTCCTTGTCACACTTTTAATATTGTAAAGTTATTAACTTCCACACGTTAAGTCCGACAGATAAATTGTTGGATTGTTAAATTTGAACATACGCTACAGACATACAGACAAATATGAAGGTTACAACACCAAAACCCCTCATTTATTAGATGATTAAAAAAATAAAAAGAAATTTTAAAATGAATAATATAAATATATTTTATACTATAAATCTCTTCCCTAATACTGGATGCCCCGATTTTGTCCACAAAGTTCGTATTTGTAAATGTTTGTTTAATATAATATTAGAACTAATTGAAGTACATTGAAATTATTTTATATAAAAACAAGTAAAATGGTTTTATCTAAAACATGGTTGAACCTGATAAATTGCATTTAAAATGTCTTTCCATTAATTGGAAAGATCCTTCGATTTGATCTTTAGACTGCTTATAAGACTTAATCTATTGTTCGTGAGGACCTCCAAATTTATTTTATCTATTAATGTTTGTTATTTTCTTTTTAATTAAGAAAATAGCTTGAGACAATAGTGTAATGCACTTCAGTAGCTAAAATATTAGATTTGACGCTTTTATGGATATAAAGGTACAAAATATACGCATTTCTATCAAATTCTTTCATCAGATATGTAACATTTAAGTTGTGAAATTATCTTTGAATTTCGTAAACGAAATTTTATTCGATCATAAGTTGAATGGAAGTGCTTTCGTTCATAATAATCTTTGCGGTCATTAAATCATGTTCCATTGGCATAATCCATAAAAATAACGGAGCAAAGTTATACATTATCATTTAAAGAATCATTGACCAAATCATTTCTAATTGTTCAGTCATGTAGACCAAATTTTAATTTGCTTATTTGTATGTAAGCGAAGTATTTTATATGAGATTAAGGCGTATGTAACTGTAGCAATATATTGTTGTATGGAACGTTTTGAAAATATATCGTTTATGTTGAGTCATTATTATAGTAGTTTATAAATATTATGTAGTATTGTTAATATATATTGTGGGTTATTACGCATATCAATCCATGCGTCAATTAAGGTGAATTTACTGATTTAATAGCGGAATAGGTTATTAGCGAATAATTAAAGTTGTTAATTTCACATAAAAAAATGTTTTGTTTATTTATTAAAAGTCAATTTCAAATAAATTTTATCAATAAGTAAATTATATCATCAAATATAATATAATATGTAAAGTAATTAATATATTGATCATTCATGCAATGAGACAATATATTAATTACTTTATCATTGTTCGGTAAAAAAAATAAATAAATAACATACAAAAATCATTTTAAACAATGAATAGCAATTAAACAAGTTATTTGACTTCTAAAAGTAGGGCGGAGAGTATAGTTCCACTACATTTCTAAAACTCAAAAAGTATATATATTTCTGCTTTATACATAATTGCGTTTGTCACTTATATTTTTTGGTAATTTTGGTAAAAATGGATCGCCGACTTGTTGAATGCAAAATATTAATTAATCGGGTATTTTTAAAATAATCTATTAGGTTCAATGGACAAATCATCAATTTAGTTGAATAATTGAACAACAATATCAACAATTCTAATATTTGTAATAGTCGTAATACTCCCAATACCCCTTAATTATTTTATTGTATTTTGTAGTTACCCAAGCAAATGCTTAGTCCCCTTATGACATTCTTTTTTACACATAGAAACCTTTTTCAGATTGCTCGTGAATACTTACTTGTTATTCTCAGTCACCCTTTCTTTCTGTACACTTATTGCATTGGCTGCATGCGATTGATATACGTAATCACTATCTGTATGAGAGAATAAATATTATATAACTTATATGTGGAACTAGAATATAATCGTAGATGGAAACTCTTGTTGTGATCTTTTAATATTGTGAGGTGCCATTTACAGCAAATTTATCTTTGTAATTGTGACGGCTTGATTCACCCTTGATTACACGTTGAGTTTAATTAAACGCAGCATTTCACTAAATTGCTTAGCTGTTTTATTTGCGAAATAGAATGCTATGATTTTATTGATATACAATTTTGCTTGTTAAACGTTGGATATATGATACGGTTAGACGATTTAGTGAGAGCGCGTACGCTTCTTAGTGTCAAAGAAGCGAGAGGTATTGTGATAGTGATGTGTACGATGCTTAATATTTATATTATTATTTTTTGAATAATAAAAAAAGTAATAATTATTGACCATATATTTTGTATTTCATTGTTCTACCTACATCTTGTGTTGTTGGGGGCTTGAGTTTATGTTCAGTTCATGCTTTAGGAGCATTTGACGGGGCTTGCGTTTTGTTTACTGTTTGCTCTTTCATATGGAATGTTAAGAGTTGACAGTATTCAAAGTTCAGGGAAATGACGCTTTGAGATATTCTCCAGTGGTAGGATGGTGATAGAATGTAGATCTTCAATATCATGTGAGTATGAGTCGGAATCTACACAGTACGAAACGCATGTAACTGTGGGTAAGTTACTTTTATTACATTATGCATGATATTTAGATACAATAGTTATCAGCTAACAGTAGAGCATGTTTCATTTACATTATAAACGCACGCTGCAACTGCATGATCATCTGCATCTGGATCGGGTGAGTGCATGATTGGAACAAGCATGCTCATTCATAAGCTTAACGACTGATGATAAAAGAAGAGCAACAGGAATGTTAGTTATTACTTATGATGCATAAACTCGTAAAAACTAAACGTCGATTCTACTCAAACATTGTATATATAACAGTTCCGCTAATCCATACTTGTTGATATTATTCAAACGATAATAAGCTTGAAGTATACGGTGGATTAATACATTAATTGTATATATAATTTAAATGTAAGATATATTAATGACAACGTACCTGTCCGAGTATATTGATTTAAATAATCGTTTGTTGTGTTGGTACAGTGAGCAAGGCGCAAGCGCCGCCGCCCCCGCTGAAGGTCCCGCTGGAGGGATGGACCGGCACCTCGAGCGCCTGCTAGCGCGCGCGGGGGGCGCCGCCCCCCGTCCCCGTCGCCGCCCCCGCGACCTCCGCCGTCCCCCTCGCACCCCCCGCCGCCCCCCTCGCACCCCCCGCCGCCCCCCACGCACCCCGCGCCGCCTCCACCGCGCACCTGGCGCCCGACGCGCACCCCGCGCACGCACTTCTCTCCGTCGCGCACGCGCTGCTCTGCCCCGCCAGTACCATAGCCAATCCCAGCCAGACCGAGAAGACCGCGCCAGTAGCGGATCTCTCGGTCCTGCCCATAGACGAAGTGACGATGCCGACGGAAGACGTCAGCGACCTCCGAGACGTCGTCGACGCCATCAACAGACTGTGTGAAACTATGAAGACTTCGAGCTACGAGGACAGCGAGGATTATTTTCCAGTGGAAGCACCCCAGTGTAGCGAACCCGCCGAGATGCGGTTCGTCAATCCCGTAGAGTCTCTCCGGTACGAGCCTCCGGACGTCGTGCAGAGCGACTATCCCGTGGACTCTCCGCAGTCCACCGTGCCGCAGTACGAGGAGTGTAGTACGGAACTCGTGAGCCCCGAAGAGGTGTCGGTACGCAGAGTGGAGGCCTACCGTGCCGAGAGGTGGAGAGATTCCCAGGAGGACGTGGAAACGGTGACGTCGGACACGGAGCCCGCGATAGCGCAGTTCGAGCCGATAAGCGAAATGTACTACACGGCTTCCTCCGAGGTGTCGTTGCTGTCCGATTTAGATTTACCCGAGCGAGCGAATAACGATGAAGATAACCCACCCGAGTCGAAGGAGAAGGACGAGAGGAAGGAATGCGTTATAGCCGGCCACGTCGCAGCCATGAGGGAGAGATTCGAGAGTATGACGCGGACGAACACGCCCTGTCCAGACCTCACGAGGTCGATGTCCCCGTCGCTCGACGTCTTCAGAAATATAACACCCTCGCCTGATCGCTTAGGATAGTCAATATTGAAAGTGTTCTAATGGTTCTTTAGGTAAGGTTGTTGCGAGTGTATGTGAACGGAAGATTTTGTAACCTCTTTGTGGAATAATTAATACTAATATTCGCATTGATAGTCCTAGTTTTCATATTTAACACCAATTATAATAGTCTACGTGCCAACTGAAGTTGAAGGGTTGTGATTATTTTCCGTAATTACATCTGATCGCAATTAATGTACTGGTACATATCGAGAAAGATTGTTTAGTTTTAGCTGTTGTTTAGCCATTTTTAGGCGCTAAAGGATTATAGACCTTAGGGAGTACGGTGACCGGAGCCGTTAGGATATTGTAATCATTTATAACGAAATATTCAAATAATCTTTATTCTATGTTGTATTTATTGTGATCTTGGAAGCTCAAATTTTGTAGTTTTGTATCTTATAAAAAATAGATGTGATTTGTAACAGATATACACCTTATTCGTCAGACCAAGTAGCGGTAATGTGCTATAGTGTAGCATTAGACATTGAAATAAAGTTAATTATTTATTGGATGCAAATCACAAAGTACAAGATCCAACTGCACATGTATTACAAGAAGTATTTTCTGTTGCATTATTGGAAGTTGCCATAAATAGTTCTAAGCATAACGTTAATTGTTTGTTGACAAATTATTTTTAAATAGCTCCCTTTGTTTATTTTGAAATTATCTGTTGTGAGTTTTCTATTGAATATTTGAGTAAAAATTTTCTATGGTGATACTAGTTAATGCAATAATTTTATTATATAATTTTTACACGTATTTAATAAGCCTGTTGTATTTCGAGTACTTATGTGAGGGGTTGGTATTAACATTTATTCAGTCTAGTGATAGTTGTCATGTATTATAAACGTGTTATGTGTACAGACCAGACCTTTTATTATTGTGATTCAATATAGGGCTTTATTGATAATATAGTTTTATTTACTTGATTATCCTATCCTATTATAATGATTGGCTGTTGGGTTGATAACTCCAATCCATTGTATATAGCAGTCTAGTCTAAAAAAATAGCATGATGATGTTTGATGAGAGGGTAAGTGATTAGAAGCAATGTAGACTGGGCGCTATTGCTAGCAATTGACCATGTCAGCTTTATTTCAACGCGGTTCCTCTGGGAAACCATCGTGGATTATTTCTGAAGAATTCGTTACGTTGGGCTAACTTACTAGACTTAATGGTCACCTGTCTTCTACGGGTGTCTTACCACTGTATACCGTTAGAGCAGGCGTGTGCACCACTCCATATATATTACTAGCTACTCGCCCCGGCTTCGCCCGGGTATGTATCATACATACCAACCTTCCTCTTGAATCACTATGAAAAAAAAAACCGCTTCAAAATCTGTTGTGTAGTTTTAAAGATTTAAGCATATATAGGGACAGACAGCGATAGCGACTTTGTTTTATACTACTTAGTGATGATTTCATAAAAAGAAAATGGTTATTAAAATAACGGATAATTAATACGGTTGGCATTTATTTAGTTTTCTATATTAGGGTGCCAAACTATAATGTAGGCCTATAACCACCTATATTACATAAATATCAAGTATTTGCCTGTTGCAGGTAGATCTTTCCAATTAATTTTGACAGCGACAAGGTGTACCGTCAGATTGTTTACCATTCCAATTACATATAAAAATCGTAAAACTGCCACCAGGACGTCAGATAGTAATCATACCAACTAAAGGATATATATATACAACTGCAAGACTTACTCGTTTTTTTTTGTAAATACATGAATAAAGATTCACAAAACGTAATGATTATCTATTTAGTTTATATTCGTAACTGAGACATCCTTTATGTAGGTAGTAAGAATTGGTTGCAGCCAATATAATAATATTAGCACGGTCATACCGTGCTAATATTATTATACATGTGGTACATATCCATAGACAAAGGATATGTAATATAATAAAAATACTCCTTCAGACCCTAAATTATGCTATAAATTACTTATGGATTAAATCTTAAGGCGTAAAAGTTACTTGATCTTTCTTCTTGGCTAAATCTGCATTCCAAATTGTAGTAAAAATATAAAAAAAAAAACATTAAATAAAAATTTATTTACGTTAAGAATTATTTCTATTTTCTTTAACCTCTGTGCTTACTAATCCCATTGCTCTTTTCTTCAAATAGTAGGGAGGTATATATTTATAATCTATTTAAAATGACTTTACCAACTAATATACACCAATGCTTATTTTACATTATGAATCAGCTGACCCGAACTTCGTCTGCATCACACTGACTTGACATTTAATATTTTTATACTTCGACATTTAATATTTCGACCAATTTACATTCCATCTATTTAAATTTTTCTGATTCGTTATTCTGATGTATAAGCTATATTACTGTTCCATCAAAATCCGTTCGGTTGTTCTAGCGTAATAAAGTAACGAACATCCATCCATACTCACAAACTTTTGCCTTTATAATATTCGTAAAAAAGTAAGATAAGATAGGTTAAATAAAGACAAATTTTTTGAAGATATATTTTAATACCAATAAGTGATAAAGTATACAACCAGGCTTATTGTAGCGTCGGGTATCATGCCATCTTGCGTCATACCTGTTTTCAGTCTAATGAATAATGTATTTGCATTTAGTGTAACATTAATAAATTACCATGGCACTATAACGATCGATGCAAGCACATTAATTTAATATTGTAATATGTAATGTAATATATTATTAGTTACAATGTAACAAAATGAATATCGACTTGGTTACTAATATGAAACAGTAACTTGGATGCAATGTCCGAATGCTATATTATATGATGGTAGAAGAAACGAATATGAAACGATGAGATTATAAATGAAAGTAAGTTTTAAAGTCCAGAGCATTTATTGAGTAAAATAGTCAAAATTCTACAAGAATAGGCAAACGTCACAACTTGTGGAGATGCTTAAGAAAAAAATTCAAGGCAGATAACATTAACATTTCTTATTGTTTACACACATCTCTTAACACCATATAGAAGTTCAAGAACGGAATTTACTACTGAAATCTGCTGTGTCGACAGTCTACGTGAGAGCTCGGTATATAGTAGGTAGGTACCATAACGTCTAAGAGCTAGCATCCACGGTGCATCCAAAACAACGTCATCCACACCCAACATTGCATAACAACCCATGACTTTTAACACAATAGTAAAAGCAAATACATTTTGACGTTCCATTTTTTATTAAGACAAAAAAATTGTATTCTAAGTGTAGACAAGCCTGAGAAATTTCAATAGAAATATTCTATTTTGGACATAAACTAGTTTCTATTTTTCTGCAGTTATAGAATATCGTTTTCAATTTTTGTACTTTTTACTGTATCATTACATTCACTGAACACGAACTAAAAGAGATGCTGCAAGTTATGCGTGGTTATCCAGTCGGGCGGCGTCCATTTGGATGCGTCGTCGTCGGCAGGCTTAAGAAGGGGACAGGGGGCCGTCAATCCAACAACGCAAGTTGTGACAGCGCACGAGTCGCCTGCGGCCGTCCGCAGGGAACTGCCGGCCCAACCTCGGCGCAGCCACCGGGCGACTCTACCGTCACCTGTCCCTCGGCACTTAACTGCGGCTCCTCCTCCCATGCCTCCGCCTCCGCCTACGGCCCCTAACATCTACGGGCCTAATCAGGGACACAGTCTCCGATGACTATCGATAATTTTGTCGTACATTGCTAATATTATTGCAAATTTATAATCATAAATCGTATTTTTAAACTTACAAAGGTCAAACAATTAATACCACGTTGAAAGATTAATACTTTATAGTACAGTATACTTTTTATACCTACCAAAAAGAACTCGCACAAATATCGAGTTTTATACTCGATAGAATTGAATACCAAAAAGTATCGATACTTCATCCGTGTCCCCGGGCCTAGTCTAGTCCATTCTTATTAACACTTCATAACTTTGAGTCTGTACGTATCGCGTCGATCGGTACGCCGGGGCCTTACCTTGCGTCGCGTTAGTATCCCGTCACCGCAAATTTTAGCATAGAGCATCGGACACAACCGTTCAAGCGGACGTATATAGATCGCTAGAGCGAGCGCCTACCTTCGCTCGGGGCCGTAAGTATCGGGGCGGGTGGAGGCGAGTGTGGGCGGGTGCAGGCGGTGCGGCGGCTACCGGAAGCGCGGCTGCATCATGGGCAGCCCCGGCACGCCGCCCGGGAACATCGCGCCCATCGGCATCATGCCGCCCGGCAGCAGCATACCTGCACACACAACCACCACGTCAGGGCCCGCACTATTCTATACACAGAGTGAAAGCTTTTCAGCCACCGCTCATTCTGGTATTATGCAACCGTTGCATAGAATTACGCTGTCTGTATTACCGTTCGAGTCTACGGAGACGTGCACATTTACGTGTTATACTGTTGTTTTCGTTCGACCGAAACCAATTTCCAGACGGAGCCGGTGGCGAAGCTTACACTCTGTATATATGTAGTCCTCTGTGTCAGTACGCCGCCTCGCTCGAGCGTCGTGAGTGAAGCAACAGGGGACCGTGGGTCCAACACACGGCTGAGCCGTTGTGACTGCTTAACAATCGCCTGTCACCCGGACCTCGGCCGGACCACCACCCGTACATTCATGTGCCTCACGACCGCTTTCGACTACCACACTATAGACAATGCATAAATGAACGTCTAAGTCTGTACAGAGATAACGGATCGACATTAAGTAAAATAGTAACGATAAAAATAAGAATGGTGAGTCTACGGATGGGTGTCGCAAGGTATCTGGCCGCCGTCGTGGTGGCCGCAGTGTTCGGCCGACGGCGGGCGAGTGGTCGCTCGTCTGTGGTCACATGTATGCACTGAAGTGTGGCGACTGATTTAAGGTGCAGTATAAGCAAAGGAACACAGGTAGGTAGGATAAATAATTCACATGAAAAATCACACTTTCAAAATACTCGGCGATATAATCGTATCCGTATTTCATGCATGTTTCAGTGTGATCCGAGATGGTTGCTCGTAGAATCCAATTCAGCCAACGACTATTAAACTCTTCGGTTCATGCACATTGTAAAGCGACAAAACTACTGTACGTAAATATAATATTAGTGTACCCACCCGTAAAACCGACAAAAAGTCACATTTTATATGACACTACGAGAAAATCGAGACAGTAATAAGATAAGAGCTACTACAATAAGCAAATCCATTAAGGAATGTGAATAAAATTACCGCTCATTTTTCATTCCGATCCTCCGATCGTGCGGATGGCACATCAAAATCACAGTTTTACTCTTGACAGTGTTTGTCTATGGACGGTTGGTTTCAATATGGTGGAGGGGGTGAGACTGCCCGTAGTGTTAGTGGGATGTTAGGGAGATGTGAGTATTGGACAAGCTGTTATGTGTTTTATCATACTGAGAGAGAGAAAAAGAGAGATAGAGCATGTCGCCGGCGGGCAGCAGGCCGGCGCTGGCCGCTAGCCGCCGCTAGTTAACTTAATATACGAGTGCACCCACCGACTCACTGGCAGACTGTTCTGAAAGCCAAGCACTTGACACATTGCTGCCTTCGACATTAGCGAATCGAGTGGTGAGCACGTCCACGCTCTTAAAACAATCCACCATATCATTACAGTAATTATTTTATACTAAATCTAGTCACGGTTCAGGTTTTGATGTCGTGGAAAATAGAAAATAATGTCAAGATAATATAAATGTATGGTTTATTAAAAAAAGAAAACTAAACAAACAAAACACATGGGACACTCCATTTTCCACGGTGATATCAAAATTATCATTAATTACAGTGTAATTTGAGCACTATGGATATAAATACTAAATCCTAACTTAACACTCATTCAAACAATATAACTAAAGAAAATTCACCCAGTAGAAATTAATTTTAATAAATGCAATTATAATACTGTTTCTGCATAATTATGTGTGATTACATCAGAATAGTGAATATTTGACTTTATAAAAAATATTGATAAGTATATAGATATTCTGACATGTTTTTTTTAGAATGTGTAAATACAGTCTTTTCAACCGTTTCAAATAACAATGAGTACATTACTGTTAAGTTCATAATACAAATAAATCTAACAATTAAATGCCTCGACTCTAGGAGGTGATTTCAAAAATACATTTATTACAAGATTATAAATGTTTATGATTAATGTGCAATATTAGGTAATGACTAACCTGACACTCTTACTTCTATTTTATATCTTGATATTCAACTTACAAAACATTTTCGACTACATAACACTAGCTGGAGGTCACTAGAACACAAAATACCCATGTGAAACAACGCGACAAGTATAATCCGTTACACCTAGTGTTCAGTTTGAGATCGACTTCGAGACATGAGTAGACTCTGTGATGATATATTATGTATATTATAAGAATATGTCTCATATTATAATTCACAAATCGTACCAATCTGTCAATTATAGGTAGGTATTTATAAATTAGAATCAACTCAGGAGACACATTCGTTTACAATCCGATCTATAGACTTGTAAAACATCGAGTCAACGTAAATTTCTGTGGAATCTACTTAAGCGATCACAGAAATTTACTCCAAACTCGCATCGACAGAGTCACGAAACGCAAAGGGGCACCGTGACGTTCCGCGGGAGATCGGAGAGAGCGTCGGGTGAGTGCGGGCGGGCAGACGTCAGTAGTAGGGGGGCGCGGACGGATACTGACCGGGCTGCAGCGGCCGCATCAGGTTGAACTGCGGCATCACGGGCAGCATGCCCATCACCGGCGGCATCGACACCGGCACGCCCACGCGCACCGGCTGCTGCAGCTGCTGCAGCGGCGGCAGCTGCGACAGCTGCGGCAGCTGCGGCAGCACGCCCACCATCGGCTGCACCAGCGGCCGGCGCAGCGCCGCCGCCGCCGCCTGCTGCCGCGCCGCCGCCGCCACCGCCGCCGACATGTGCGCCGCCACCTGCAAACGTAAAACGCCGCCAGTTTATAAACCTCTATCTACCACTACCGTCGATGACGAGGGAACGCTCGTAAGTGGTATTCTATAAGTTACGTCACACCGATGCAAATTACTTGTACCCCCACTCGAATCATGTTTTAATAGTTAATAATTTCGTGTATTGTATAAGCAAATCTAAGATTTCTCTTATTAATCATTCATTTTTAACCTCCCCCCTGATATGTGGTGATATTTAAGACTTCAATATCACGTGTATTTTTCAGTAACTATAAAAAATCTTATTTCTTTTTAATATTATTTTCAATACAGATATAAACTAATTTAATTCTAGAAAGTCACACTACACTCACATATCAGTTCCGAAATCGTGTGGTGAATGGAAAAACAAATAAACGTAATATCTCACTACACTACTACACCCCCCTCTAATATACTCTTATAACATTTCGTGCTTTTTGGCGAATCCCCTGCCCCGATTTCGAGGCAATGTGATTAATTGCGGTAACGGCCCCTTAGGGGAGTAGGATGGAATATAGAAATATTTACATACAGTTGATTCATACCCCTCTCCCGCACATCATGTGTAACGCAATTTATAGATACCCCTAACAGGATTTATTATGGTTGTACACAGATACATCATACAAACAGGATATTTACCATGATAATGTCTTTTATGTAGTCTCAATATTTCGACGCTGTCAGTCGAGTCGACGTCTGACTAAGAAGATGTAGCGCTTTGGTCACTTGACTTGAAATATCGGAAGCTGATATTATGGTTATGGCAAATATCTCCGTTTATATGATAATGGTGGTTTAGTAATGTCAAGGTCTCTACACGACACTTGTTATGGCATTGCCAAATACGTTTAAAAAATGTATGCCCTGTAGTACTTATAGCATTTATTTCAAGTTTTACTTCTCTTGTACTGATATGAGAGGGTAAAAAAGAATTTTGACATATTTACGAATCTTTAGGCTCAACCACAAACACAACTCGAAATATGTAATGTAAGTGAAAGTAACATAAAAATTAAATTAGTTTGGGATAAGTTTTGCGTTCTTGTACAATGTATGTTTGTCAGACAAGCATTATATAATACAACACCTTATAATTTGTCATGTCCATGATGTCATTCACATCGCTAGCTGAGAGTCGCCACGATCCATCAGATTGCCACTACCGTTGGAATAGAAAAATGCTGTTACATATACCGGCAAGAAAACTGGAGAGTGCGCACTGTGTAACAATCTTACACTGCGTTTAAACTAAACACTTCTTAACGTATTTTAACTGTGGCGCCAGACACGTCTTCAAAGATTTGAATACGCATTTGAGAAAACAAAAGTATATCTAGTAGACATTTTCTATAAACACGCGTATTCATAGTACTAAATTTAGCATGAGCCAAGTATGCTACACACGTATTTAAACTTTAAATTCTTTGAAGTGCACATAAAAACTGATATCAATGATGATGATATCAACGGTGGTGAGAATGATTACATCTTAATCTTGGAAGAGCTGGAGGTTTATAAAGGCATGGCGAGATTTTTGCATTGCGGAACATTTTGTAAACAGAATATAACTTAACATTGGAAAGAAGGCTTTATTATAATCTTGAAACATACGTTCTAACCTCAAATACAAATACTACGCTACGTGTGTACTTTGCGTACGTAATAAAATACTAGTGATACGCATTACTATGTGCACATGAATCTTTTTTTTTTCAATAAACGTAAACAGAAGCTGCGTTTAGATTCAGGTTTATAATGCCATAACATTTCAAGGTGAAAAAGTATGCTTGTATGTATGGTTCCCGGTATGGCGACCCCTAACGGTGCCCTCGGACTAAAGTCATATCCGTCGGGCACGATTCGGCCTTCGGCCCCTCCATAAGTCCTGCGAAGCTGTAAAGGCGACAGCGCCGACCGACAGCATTAAAGTACCAAAAATGAGAAAAGGTTGAAGGCGGCGTACCTCGGCCTGGCTGGTGGCGGGCGGCAGCGCGGGCGAGGCGGCGTGGTGCAGGGCGGCGCGGGGCGCGGCGCCGCGGGCGCGGTAGTTGGCGGCGCGCGCGCGGATCTCCTCCAGCGAGACGTCCTCGGGCGGGTGCACGATGCGCGAGCCGGCGCCCGTGGCCGTCACCAGCGGACACGCGTTGGCCGCGGGGGGCGCGACGTCTCCGTTCTCCTTGGGCTCCGCGCTCGCCGCCGAGGTCGTCGGCGGCGCGCTTATTGTCGCGTTGCTGTACCCGCCGAGGAAAAATAAGTAAAACATTATATTAGAATATCAAATAAAAGTGTATGCTACTGCAAATAAAGATCTCGACTCGACTAAAGGAGTGTTTTACTTTTGTTGTTACTGTACACACCGAGTAAAAATCGTAAAAAAAAAAATATGTTACACTCAAAGAAAAGTGTGAAGTGCCTGTCATGATACTTATTTACACTGTTTAGTGATAATAACAGTTCACAACGATCCAAACAACACTGTATAGAGAAAAACTAAGCAAGCTTATAGTATAGGTAAACGATGACAGCTGTTAGAAATATACTAAAACATACTGAGACCAATACAAAGGATTATATTCATGAATATAAATGTCAGTATTATGCAAGAATAGAATTGGAGACTATTGAAAGTAAGGCAGTGTGCTAAACTGCTAGACTACTGAATCTAGTACAGAACACTGAGTACAATATATAACACATGAATATTCATGAAGTGTTTACCTTTAAGAGACTAAACAAAGTATATGATGACTATTAAATACTTATGTATGCACTTATACTAAAAATACATTACATTAGTTGTTAGTACACCTAATATAGTAGATAAATAAAAATAAGAACCTGTACGCAGGGAAAGTAGGTTTGCTAGGTGTGGACACTGATATACTCGATGCAGGGAACAGCGGCCTCATGCCCGGCATCATCATTCTAAAATTATCAAACAGAATAAAAGAAATTACAATGGTATGTATAAAATGAAAGGAATATTTACCATGATTTGTTTTATACTACTACTATTTAAGCAATATTATGATTACAGATATCCTACTTGAATAAATTATAATTAAGTAACTAGACAAGCTAATTATAATTACATAGAATAGAACATAACTTCAGACTTACAGCATCAAATCGACATAGAGCAGGAATTAACAGATAACAAATTGAAGAAGTATGATCACATATGATGAACTCTAAAAATCTAATCATAATCCTACATATTATAATGACTCATACAATGAGTAATATGTACAATATATAATATACCCTTTATATGACATAAAAAACAATGACTTCTTTGTTTTTGATGTCATATACCCTTTTCTGGCCTTAGGAGTCACATGACCACCACTGACAGTTAGTCAGTATACTATGTCTGTCAAACTTACCTTGCTGCTGGCACAAATGGTGGCATCATGTGATTCATAGACATATGGCCTGGATACATTCCAGGGGGGACTGGACCCATAGGTGTGGGCAATATGCCTGGAGTCACTGATGAGGGACCCGCACCCAACTGTGGGAATAAATAGTAAAATTATGTATTTAACTATTTCAGTTTCATTGTAGATGTTAGGATATGTAACAATATGGCTGAAGGTTTGTATGAGTGACCATTGAAATACAAAATCTTCATAGCCCACAATCAATAGTAACTAATAGACAGCAATTGATGGATACTATGGAAGTGAAAATGTCTGTCTATATGTTTGTTACCTTTCATAACTGTATTTATTTTCTATTTAATAATTGTATATTGATAATAATTAATAATTTTATCATAAACATAAAATATATTTTATTAAAAAAAAAGTATATAAAGTTAGTTGTAACAGGTATATCCAATAATTTGAAAGCTTGTGATAATATGCCAGTAAAGGACATTATAAACAATTTGCTCTACATGTTATAAAATAAAATGTAAGTGTTAGTGTAAAAACTAAAGTGCTATCTGTATGTTATTAAAAATAATGTAAAAAGCTACTTAATAGGTATTCATACAGTTTTCATCTATATACAGAGACTATGAGGAACTACTAGGAAGGTTAAGGTATATAATTTTTAAAAATTTTATTTAAAAAAAAATTGTTTTAAAAACTTGTGCAAAGTCAGAATGAGTGATTTGAATGTAAATTTAATTTTACTTACTAATGCAGGTGTGGCTTTCTTTTTTGCAGCAGGCTCATCGTCTTCACTGTCAGAACCTTTGCCTCCACCTAAATTATTAAACTAGTGTAAATAAATCATGTTTGTGTAACTATTCACATTAAAAAACACAAATAGTAAAACTACAACAATTATAACAAGTATAGTAAAAAATGTACATACATTTCGATCCAAAATGATGGGACATCATTCAAAAATAAAGTTTTTATACCTGATTTTTGCTTTTCATGCTCCTTCACATCTTCAGGTGGAATACCTTCCATACCATAGATTTCTATTTCTATGTTTGACCTATTTGGTAGTGAATTTGGTACTTTGTCTATTGCTTCCTTGTGAACCTGCAAAGTGTAACAACAATGCATTTTATGTAATTATATGCATTTATTAAACGAGTTATTGATTATTAACATGCTTCGAGGCAGATATTTACGTATGACTTTAATGGGAGCAGTACAAGACGCGCCAAATATCTAAAGATATTACGCGGGTTAAAAAAGGACTGCGCATCGGCCGTGGGCGGGTGGACCTTTGCCAAGTCGGTAGGGCTGACGTACCTGCATGCAGTGTATTGATAATCCGGGACCAGTGTACAGCTTTTTGTGACATATGTGACATTTAAAGTGCTTCGCTTTTTGATGTTGAATCAAAATTTTTTCATCATCAAACTCCCTATTACAATACCTGATAAATATCTAAGGAAATCATTAATAATAAGTAAAAACAAATGAGGTTAACAAATGCCTTAAGTCTTGCATAAATTTCGCAACGCATTTTGTTAAAAGGATACCAGCACCAGGGTTTCGACGCCTTCTTCTTCTTCCGACCCATTGTAACTTACTTAAACACGAAAATTAGTTTACAAACTATTAATAACACAAATATAGTCAAAATTAAATACAATAATATCACAGATTTTGTTAATTTTATATCTAATTAACGTCAAATAACGTAAATTATTACGAAAAGATAATGGAAATGAAATCAAAATGGCGGAAGGCATGCATCAGTGTGACCAGTTTAAAATTTGAAAAGCGCTGAAAACAAAATTGTTGGCACAATTTTGTTCGACAAAAAATGCCAAAATTTATGAGGTTCTTACACTATCAATACGTAAAATTATATGAAACTACTATAGTATCTACCTTTTGAAGAAGTTGATGCGTATTCTAGTTTAAGACAAAATGAATTCAAATGCGAATACAAGATATCGGACAAACGATATGTACAATATCTTGTTAAAACATTTCCTGTTCATGAAACAAGTTTTCGTATATTATGCTACACAAACTATATGGAGATACTGACTATGCATTTACGCTTTGTTAGTATAGTATTCCAGTATGTTACATTAGTTGATCTTTGTTTACGTTATAATATAGTGGCGCCATCTTAAATTCTCGTTGACAGTTAGCAGTTCATATTCAGTGTTGCATTGTTTAAAAGACAAAAGAGAACTTCCACGTACCAAATAACATTTTTACCATAGGAGATTTTTTTTGTGGATGATAAGGAGTTAAATAATATAATGGTCAAAAACTGGAAAGTGATTTGGTTCACCAAATCATGGACGCCCAAAGATGGTACAAGGACGTAGCTGATCTATACATATACAGAACCAACGGTATCAACTTACAATTGGATTAACTTATGACTAAAGCGATAAACAAATTCGCATACGGCCCGCCTGAACTGATCTCTATTTGGAGTTGTTTATCTAAAATATCATAAAATTTTATTCAGTAGGCATGACACTAAACGAGACTTAGCGTGTTTATTTTCTGCTTAGCGAGATCACTTGTTATCTTATGACTTTAACAGTTCTTTGGAACCTGCATGAGCCGTACATGATTGTAGGCATGACACGCATGAGTCGGGGGCGTGCTGCCTACGAATCCTCTGATTGGTTGTTTCAAATTTTACATGTTACTGTAGAATAAAATTTTGTGACGTGTGTCAGATTACCTCTTATTTATTCTTATCTTGAGATGAAGTTAAAGACTGATATCTAATATAATATACACTCCATTGTATTTTGATAACATTAGCGTTGTTTTACTATCGTTCTGTAATTTCTACCCGGGCTGTTGGATTTAGTTTCTGCAGTAACTTAGCTTATGTATTTTTTGTTTTTGTAACCGAAACACAGTTTGCAAGGCAAGCTGCTTGGCGGCAGAAATGGGTGACACACTGCTCCCTAGTACCTATTTCTTTATTTTTTGAAACTTCGACACACTGTTGGCAAACAGGCATACGGCCCGTCTGATGATAAACGGTTACCGTAGCCTATGGACGCCTGAAACACCATATCACGTGCGCCATTTTTCAATTTCATTCCCTTTAAAATAATAAATAATTGTCATATAAGCCTGATGAATGATGATGATGATGTGAATTTTAAAAACGTTACGATACTTTTACAATCTCATACTTTGTATTGTATGAATTGTATCCATAATATTGCATACAAAGAGTGAACTGGGTGTCACAGTGGCGAATCTCAAAACAGATTTGTTTTATATTAGTAATCGGTTCGCAATTAAACATATATAAACAAATGTGTGAAAAGTGACGGTGTGAATACACGCATGATCTTATTGTGCTCATATTATTAATCATTGGAATCAACATCAGTACTTGACATCAGTCTTTGATCACAAAATTATCATGAACAGTAAGCATGCTCAATGTACATAGTAGGTAAATAATTTTATTAAACATTTCTAAAAGAATTCTGCAGTTCAAATACTTTTAGATAATAAGCCATGATGACTAATATACGCACCTTTGAAACTTTGTACAATGATCTCGTCTTGTCAGAATTATCTTTTTATCATGACTGTGATGAACGAACTTACAACTTATTCAGACGCAAATATTATATGTATATGTGAATATATACTTACAATACTTGCGACTGAAACTTTTCTCTTCTAACACCTTTGTAGGTGGAAGGTTGAAGAAAGAGCAAGGGAGGAATATAATATCTTCAAGTATTCTTATAAGAAAATGAAGAGTGGCGAAGTGTTTTGTATAAAAAATGTGTCTGCTTTTATTATAGGAAATCATAAATTTTTATAATTATATTGCAACAAAAAAAAAAATAGAAAAAAATAATTGTAATCAGAAACTAATTTCTGACAAATAATATTAGGTTCGACTCATATAGGTAACGTTGGATACCAGAAACTGATTCTAGCAAAATAAAGAGATGTACCTAAGTGTTGCGATCAGCACAACTTAAATTTATGGAATAGTAAATAGTATTTTTTTTTGTTTCCAGATATCCATTATTGTGTTTATTTAAACTTTTTTGAGAAGTGTTTTTTCTACACTCTCATAAACAGTTTATGGAAATATAGACAGAAAAAATCTCTGTCATGTTAATTTACGTGCATTGTCATCGAATATTTTATTTGTCCAAAAGAAGTAATTTCAGTAACTTTATTATTACAAAATAAATGTGAAATATGTGTTTGAAATTTATAAATGTATTTAGTATAAGTGGTATAATTCATGTTCAACAGAGGAGAGAGTGCGGACAACGAGCCTTGTGGTTCTGTGGAGAGCAAGAATTCATGTAAATATTTAAGTACACATTGAATGCTGTATCTTTTTTATTTGTTTTGTGAGACATTCATATTACTATTATTATTAAATATATTAGAAGTGATGGTAAGTTGTTCAATGGATGTATATTGATACCAGCCTCAGCGTTGGCTGAGGACCAGAATCGAATGATAAGGTGAGCCTAAAGCTAAGTTGTTTAGACCATCATGAATATTTCATCAAGAATTAACCGCGTCAGTTTCCGGGAACCGTGTGGAGATCGACCTGACACATTGCCGGACCTGGTACATTGCTAGCAATGGGGTCACTAGGTCCTATTTTTTAAAGGATAATGATAAGATGAGCATGAGTTTAAGTCAGTTAGCCCATCATGGTAAATTAACCATGAATTTATCCCAATGGTTTCCAGAGAGAACCACATGTAGGTCAACCTGACATGGTACATGCTAGCAATGGGATTATTAGTTTATTAAATTCCTGTTGAATTTACCAAGATGGTTTCCGGGGATAGTTGCGTGGAGGTCAACCTGTCATGGTATATTGCTAATTATGGGGTCATCAGTCCACATTATTAACGATTTCCTTCTCCCATTATGGCTTATTACAAATAATCCCTCCTTTCATAAGTGCAGGTATTTAAATAATAAACAAGAGGTTATATTAGATCAATATTTATTTTATTATCATAGCATATATTTTAACCCAAATTAGTAGATAAACAAGATAACGATGTATGTATTCTAATTTCCTCAGACATGTCATGTCACACAAGCCAGTAGTGCCGCAGTTGCCTGTAGATGTTTTGATCTAATCTTTATATATAAAAATTACGTGTCATGTTGTTCGTCCGCGATGGACTTCTAAGCTACTAAACCGATTGCAAATTTAATTTGCACATTGTGTGCAATTTGATCCAATTTGAAAGGTAATATTGCGACTATAAATTGAGATGTAAATCTCAATTTATAGTTGCAATATTATTTTATTCAAGAACGTTAGCCACAGCAACGCGTGGCCGTATCTGCTAGTCTAATATATAAAATTCTCGTGTCACAGTGTTCGTAACAAACCTTCTCCGAAACGGCTTGACAGTCCTTATGCAATTTTGTGTGGGCTAATTGGCTTGACGTCATGCTCAACTTATCATCCTTCACTGGTGTCCCGTGCGCGTAGACCATTAGCGCAGACAAGTGCAATACATATTCCATTATTATCCACAAAAAAAGGTTTGCCGGGTTAACTTCCTTACTAATATTATAAATGCGAAAGTAAGTCTGTCTGTCTGTCGCATTTCTCCGCCATAACTTTTTATATATACTTTATTGCACTTATTATATTAATAGACAAAGATAGTTATATTAAATTGTGAGCAAGGGCGGGCTTATCTCTGCAAGAGATTTCTTCCAGCCAACCTAACGCTGTGACAGAGGTGGTAATTAGCGGGCAACGATAGTGCTTGAGTTTTTAAGTGGTTGTAATACATAACCATAGATATTCCAATATATACTTAAAGAACAAACAAAAAAAAAAGCATACACACACTAAATATATAAAATACAATACATATAATAAAAAAATATTATATTATAAATATAATAAAATAACCATATATAAATACCTAAACAAATACATAAGCAACAATTACATATAATGATTACATTTGAAACCACGTCATGTATTGATGGAGAGAAAATGAGATTTTAATCTTTTTTTAAATGTGGTGATGGAAGGACTTTCCTGAATGTGAATTGGCAGATTATTCCACAAAAAAGCAGCTCTAAAAGAGAATGAATTTCCCATAAAATGGGTTCTACATGTAGGAAGCTTCAACATTCTAGACTGAACCTGACATGCTCGTTTTGGACGAGTGGGTGGAGGGAGTAATTGAAACCGGGAACGGAGGTACGATGGAGAATTGGGATCATAGAGTATATTATACAGAGTGGAAAGGATATGCATATCACGCCGAAGACGAACAGGGAGCCATTTTAATTTATTACGAAAAACAGAAACATGATCGAATTTTCGCAGACCAAAGATGAATCTGATGGCTAGGTTTTGAAGACGTTCGAGTTTGTTTAGAAGCTCTTCAGTCACATCAATGAAACAAACATCGGCATAGTCGAGAACGGGGAGGAGAATAGATTGCGCGAGCATAATTTTGGTATTGAATGGGAGAAAGTATTGGAGACGTTTGAGCGAATGAAATGAAAAGTGCATACGTCTACTAATTTCATTAATGTGAGGCGACCAAGACAGTGTACCGTCCATTACGAGACCTAAATTTGTTAACTTATCGGTGTAAGTCACAGTAACACCGTTGTAGAATATTGGTGGTACTTCAGTCCAGTCTAATCTAGAGCGCAACCTACTGCTACCTACAATCATGGCTTGTGATTTTGCAGGATTAACAACGAGGCCAAATGAATT